ATTCATTCATTCATTCATTCAAAAATACCTTTCTGAAAGGATTTCTGCAAATTTGTTGTGAAAAATGACTTCCTGTTGAAACGACACTTGTCTGGCTGCAGTTAGAGAACAGAACGTATTATTTGTGTATTTTTTAGTGCAAACATCCCTGACCGTTGACCCGACAGTCCTCATGTTCCTGAACAGGTTTTATTTTCACACATTTGTTGTACTGTGTTGAAACTTCGTGCCCGTTAGACGTGAGCCTTTGCTTTGCATGAGAAAAATKCTTTGGAAAACAAACATGTTTCAGCCGGACTGGGTGGAAAGTCTCCTTGTTTTCTGTGTTTATGTGATGGTCTAATTGAAAGTAAAGCARAGCTCATTGGTCCGGATCGAGGTGTAAATTCTCTTTGGTTGCAGCACACAGTTCGTTTGTTGATGACTTCCTGTTTGTCCTGGAGTCCTGTTTGTTCCAGTCAGACAGTCTGGTGTTTGTTTTCTGCCTGTCAGATGAAGGTTGAAGCAGAGTGTGGAAGTGACAGATCTTCGACTGCGTGGGGGGTGGGGGGCTCCCTGAGAAGAATGCRTCTCCTCCTGAAGTGTCACCTCCTTACAGAAAAACCTGTTAGATTATGTTACATCCAAACATGTCGTCTGTGAGACACTGGGCTGGAAATGTCTCCCCGGGGAGCAATCAGTCTGACTCCAGCTTTTTAAAAAAAAGCCTCCTCCTCTCCTCATTTTTCAGTCCTGAAATTGGTGGAACTCTTGGCGTGTATCGTTTGCTTACCTCGCACAGCTCAGTTACTCTGATTAGAAATCAATTAACGTTTTCCTGTTGGCTGAACTTTGTAATTCTACTCCAGTCCAAATAAATCACTGGTTGCTTCTTGGAAAAGATTCAGCAGGAGTCGTCTGGTGAGCTTCAGAGGAGAGAGTAAAAACCGAGTACAGAAGAACGGCTCAATATGAAGCAGAAATAAACATTTGAGTACAAAGTTATCTCCACGCTGGATGATGACTCTGATTTACTGGAGAACCTCCATGATGCTGCTGCGCTCTATGTTCTGTCTCCTGCAGAGGCTGAACTCTGGACCAGAGACTCATCTCATGTTTTCTGCTGCACTTCTCAGAAAATCACCATCAAACCATCGTTGGAGGTTCTTCACCAATCCGACAAAACTCCTTTCTTTGAGTGGTAAGATTATTATTTAYTAATATTTGCTGTGTGGGTATGGATTGTGTCTGAAATTAGATACAGCCTATTGGTAGCATATATGACCCCCGCATGTACACAAAGCACCAGTACACCAGAACAGATTTATTGTTTTGTGTGGGGGTCCGGAGGGGGGAGCTCATTGGTGGACCTGATGGATAGCCCTACAACAGAGCTAAAAAACAAAAGAAATCTGAAGCTTCTGTGTTGAATAGATTTTCAGTTATAAGCTTTTTTTCTATCCAGACACGCCCCTTTTAGATGGAGCCCCCTCCCCAAATATGGGGTCTATCATAAAACCGTTTGGTGGCTCAGTGTAGGTCGGACTCATCTACAGTCCTGTCAGATTTTACACTGATCGGTGCAGCTGCTACTGTTGACCAAAAACCTTGTTGTAAAATTCCTCTGCAAGCTTTTAAATCCCCGGTTGTTTCGTGATCATCCTGATCCATCTCAACGTTTCCATGAGGGTCTTCTTCAGACCCCAGCTCCCAGTCTAGACCAGAACCTGGTCCTGTTTTATTCCAGGAAGCAGGAGGTTGCACTCTCTTGGCAACAAAGAGCCCATTGCTGTGTTGGTAGTCATTAAGCAGAATTTGTCTGGTATCTGTGCGTTGAAACGCCACAAAGGAGTGAGAATAAAACCAGCGTGAGGTCAGTGGGGGGTGGGGGGGCAGACAGCGACAGAGAGGCTGGCTCAGATCCCACAGGACTGCTCGGGGACAGCAGCAACCTGAGAGGGACACCCCTCAAACAGCCCCCCGCAGCCGTGCATCTGACGGTTAAAACAACAGCCCCCGTGGCCAACAAGACTCCAGAGTTCTCCCCTGCTGGATTTACGCTCCTTCCTCGGTTCCCACCGTCCTCTCCCACCCGTCTCCTCTGTCTGCTGCTCCTCTCTGTGGTTTTTACACAAAACGTGTTCCTTGTCTCGTCTGTCAGGATCCCTCCTGCATCTCACCACAAAGCTGAAGACCTTTTTATTATTTTAACTAATAATACAGAAACATTCTACACAGATGCAAAACAATACAAAATCAAACATAACCCTCAAAGCTGTTTCTGACTGTGTTGTATAAAGTACCACAAAGTGATGCTTGAGTAAAAGTATCTTACCAAAAAATATTTTGGTAAAAGTTCAAGTCTCCTTTAGGAATATTACTTGAGTAAAAGTCTTAAAGTATGTGATATTTGTTGTAGTTCAGTATTAAAAGTCAA